AAGCACCCTGGAGAGGGCGAGTGGGCCCTGCGCCCAGCCTTAGAAATGCCTGGGGCTTCTGGCATCACCTGCTCCCCGGGGCCGCCTCCAAACACCTGCTGAATTACTCATTCACCCAAAGGGCAGAACTCTGCCCCAGGCGGAGGGAGTCTGTCCTGAGTGGGCTCACCATGCAGAACTTCTAGAGCTGGCCCTCAGCAGAAAGGTCCATAACGTATCATAAAACAAAATGTTTTCTGTATTAGGTATGATGCATGTGCACCCTTGGACCTGCTCAACTCAGTACCCACAAACTCTTTGGACAGGCTGTGTGTGTGTGTGTGCTGCTGAAAAATAATTCACATATGATTTCATGGTGTTTAGTATACTATAGAGATGTATACTTATTACAATTTTAGAATATTTTTATCACCCTCAAAAGAAAACCTGTATCCTCTGTTATTTACTTCCCCTTCCCCTCGAAGTTCCCCTTCCTACAGACAGCTACAAATCTCCTTATCTCTATAGATTTGCCTATTCTGGATGCTTCATATAAATGGAATCATAATAATATGTGGTTGTCTTAATCTGTCTTCTGTTGCTATAACAAAGAGTGATTTCTAAATGACGGTGGTTTAGCACAGGACTCTGAGCCTGGAGAATCCAACACCACAGTGCACATCCAGCGAGGTGACTTGTTGCTGGCGGGGACTCCATGCCGAGTACTGAGGGAGCACAGACAGTCACATGGAGAGAAGGGTGCACGCAAAAGAGCGAGCCAAGCTGGCGTTTGCAACAGGTTTGCGCTGCAACAGCCGCTACCCCACGATCGGGTCCCCAGTCACAGTGGCACAGCCTTGTCATCTAGGCAGCATTTCTGGGTCTCACTTGTCTCTCACTTCCAGATACCCCACACTGAATTTCAATATGGGTTTTAGAGAGGACTTTCAAGCCACAGTCTTTTGTGACTGACTTCTTTCCCTTAGCCTAAGGTTTTTTGTTTTGCAGTAGTGAGGACTGAACCCAGGGCCTTCACATTGAGCTACATCCCCCGATATAAATATACATATTTGGGACACAGTGACAGGGTCCCACTAAGCTGTTAAATTGCCTACGCTGGGCTCAAACTTGTGACCCTCTTTCTCAGCTTTCCTGAGTGCTGGGATTGTAGGCATACATGACCACCACATCCAGCAGCCTAGACTTTTGAGAGACCACCCATGTTGTAACACGTATCAGTACTTCAGTTTTTACTGCCCAATGTTTTTCCATTGTGGGGATGGACCAAACTTTGCTTATTTATTCATCAGCTGATAGGCATGGGGTCTGTTTCCACCTTGTCAAGATTATGGATGGCACTCTATGAACATCTGTGTGCGCGTTTCTGAGTGATACATGAAACAGATGATCTTTGGGGTCTGAATCCTCCGGGAGTGGGTATACATATTTTTCAGACATTAAGGTAAACAACGTTCATCAGATTAACCAAATAAGTTATAGCCCTCCTCTAAAACCAGGCATAGTGACGCATGCCTGTACTCCCAGCTACTTGGAAGGCTGAGGTAGGAGGAACACATGAACTCACAAGTTCAAGGCCAGCCTGAGCAACATAGCAAGACTCTATTTCAAAAAACAGCAAAAACAATCAGTGCAAGCTCCTCATTGGGCTTTGAGGCCTTATTCAAAGCTGCCTGCCTCTTCAGATGGGCCTTGTAGTCAATGGGATCTGGGGCTCCGTGCCTGTGATGCACCTACGCCTGCACTTCACAGATCTGCAGCTCTCTAAGCCTCCTGTTGCTCATCTGCAAACTGGAGCTAAGTACAGGACATCCTCCCACAGGTGCCTCTTCTGATGCCAGGGGAGATAGCGTCTGCGGAGCGTGGGTGTGACACCTTTATGACCCAGCCCTGGTGAGCCTCCTCTGAGCCCCAGAATGTCCTGTGCCTTTCCATTCCTGGACCTTTGCTTCTCCTAAGGAAGGAGGAGTGGAAATGAGGGGCAGTGAGCAGGAATAACCTGCTGGCCATGGGAGACACCCAGACAGCACTCTGTGGAGTCAGCCCGCTGCCCCTGGGCACCACTTCCCTGCATGAAGGGGGTCTGAGAACAGGACCCCGGCCTGCAGGAAGGAGGTGAGGAGCAGACTCAGTGCTGACTTCCTCCTAGCGGCCACCAGGCAGGAAGTGAGGGCGCGGCAGAGAGATGAGTCTGACAGGAAGCCAGGGAACAAAGGAGTCACACCTGATAGCAGTCAGGGAGGAGCAGGTCCTCGGTGGAGTGGGTGGAGAAAGAGTAAGGCAGCTTAAGCAGTGACGGGCAGCGGTGGCGGGGAAAAGGAAGGAGAGAGGCCAAGACTGCTGGGCAGGTCTGACTGCTTCTGAGGGATGGAGATAGTGCGCGGATGGCTGCCACGAGGAACATTCACCGAGGCCCTCCGCTGAGCTCAGAGACTGGGGAACCAGCACGGAAGGCCAACAATGGGCCCCTTCAGTGCAGAGGATGGACAAGGGAGGGGGACACAGAATGTGGGCCAACAGCTCTTAGCAAAGGATAGTAGTAGCCACGGGTGGTGGCACATGTTTATAATTCCAGCACTCGAGAGGCTGAGGCAGGAGATTTGCTGAGTTTGATGTCAGTCTTAGAGACGTAGCATGACCAGCCTGAACTATAAAGTGAGACCCTGTCTCAAACAAAACAAAAACAAAAATAAAGTAGCAACCTTCCAAGACCCTGTCTCAAAATTTTAAAAAAAGGTGTGGGGATACAGCTCAGGGCAAAGGCTCTGGGTTCAACCTCCAGTATGGCAAGAAGAGGAAGGAGGAGGAAGAGGAGGAGGCCGTGGAGCAAGAGGAGGTGGGAGGAGAAAAAGTAATCATAAGGGAAATTAGAATATATTTCAAACACAATGAGAGTGAAATAGTCATTTTAAAAAACAGAAGAATATACACAAGGGCATACTTCATGTGTATACTTTACATTGTCCTTCTCCAGCTATTAACATATTTTCTCTCCCCTTGAGAGTGAAATTTCTCAAGATGTGTACTTGCATCCCCCACTCACGTGCTCCTTTCCACACTCCACCTGCCTTGAGCAAACGCAGCGCGGCTTCCAGAAGCCGGCTCTCAGGAGCGGCTCTAAGGTGGGCAGGGGCATCTTCGTTGCTAAATGCAGCCCAGGTGCTCCACCCTGTCCTCCTCTCAGCAGCACGGGTGCGGCTTTCCTCCCTCAGATGCTGGTCCTGCTACATCTCCCGAAGACCAGCCTTTCGTCTTCTCTTCTTCCTCTGTGTCCTCTTTTCCCGAGGGAGCTGACTCATCCCATGTCTCCAGTGACCATCCACGCACACATGGTTTCCTACGTATATTCCCAGCCCAGGTCCTGTCCACAAACTTCCCGCCCAGAGATCTAACTGCCCACCTCCAATGTCTTCTCTCAGCTCCTCTCAATGCCTCCGCTGTGGCTTAAACATCTGCTTCCCCTCAAGGGTCACAGGTGAAACCCTAACTCCCCAAGGTGATGGTACTAGGAGGTCACGAAGGGGACACCTGTGACGGTGCTCTCGCAGCATCAGGGCCCCCCTGACTCCTGCAGCCTGGCAGACACGGCCGGGGCCGTCTCAGAGCAAGGGGCCCTCCCCGGACGGCGAGTCTGATGGTACATGCAGCTTGGACTTTCTGACCAACAAACATTTATGAGCCACCTAGTTTATGACATTTTGTTACAGCAATCTGCACAGACAACGGCAGCCTCTCCAAGTCAATGCTGTCCAAATCCGAACTTGTGAGCCCTCCAACCCTGGCCTAGGATGCTTCTTCTTTCAATAAATGCTATCACCTGCCTACCTGCAGGCCCAGAAGCTGAATCGCCTGACACAGGGCCCTCTTCCGAAACCTTCACAGCCAGTCTAGTGTCATGTCTCAAATAGCTGCCGTCACTTCCGTCAGTGAGACTGTGGCTCAGCTCCTAGACCGTTTCCTCAAATGCACAGGTCCTGCGCCCAACCCGTTCTGGGGTCAGAAGGGCTTGTCATATGCCAATCATATCATGTCATTCCCCTTCTTCAATGGCTCTGGACATAAAAACAAAACTTTAATAAGGTCTACAAGGCCGGTCCCAATCTGATCTCTGCCTATTTCACACGTGTCTTTGCCCTTCCCCGCCAGGGCCTTTGCAGGCACTGTCCCTGCTCCTGGGCCGCTCCTTGCTGTGCTCACTGTTCGTGTCTCTGTCAAGAACCATTTTCTTAGGGAAGGCTTCCCTTACCTGACAAATGCTCCAGTTGCCGTCCACCCCGTGTCTTTCCTTACCACTCATCACAGCTGCAGTGTTACCATTTAACTTGAGTGATCCAATAATTCAGGCTACACTGAAAGTTCCCTGAGGGCAAGGACCCCATGTGGCTCTATTCATCACTGTATCCTTAGTGCCTGCTACCAACCTTGGGCACATAGCAGCCATAGACTAAACATTTGTTGAATGACTGAGTGATAGTAAAGTCACATAGCATGATAATAGGACTTGAGGTAGAAAACAGTGAAGGAAGATACACCAATGTCTTCATAGAATAAGGGGGAATGACTGGGAAGTCAAACAAGCATGCTTGAGGATCACCTGGATAATGGCAGACCCCAAGGATGTGCAGCTGCATGACGCTGGGATGTTCTGGGATTACTGAGCTTGGCATGGAGGAAAGCAGCAGATTCTTTCACGAGAGATACACCTCTTTTTCTGACTGTATTTTCCTTATAATACAAAGGAAACTCTTCTCATAAGCAGCCTCCTAAGAGCCTTGATTCTTCTGAAAAAGAGCAGGAAAGCTGCCCTTCACTGAAGGATGCTGCCAGACAATAAGAGCAGGGCGGCTGGGGCCGCCATGCTGGCCAGAGTCCGCCCCGGGACGAGTAGCTAACAGGAAACCCTTGCACCCCGAACCGTCACACAGCAGCCTGTGAACAGCTCCGCGGGAGTCACACCAGGGGCTGGAGGCCTGGCTCCCAACTCTTGCCAGGGAGACGCATACCTTGGTCCAGCCGGGGAACTGGATGAAGGTGTCCTGGGGCAGGTCTGGGATCTCACTGGGAATGGAGAAGTTGCCCACATAGAAGGCCGGAAGTGTGTAGTTAGATGGGCCGGGAGCACAGTGCTTGTCCTGGTGGCCAGCATCACAGCCGCCAGCATCACAGCCAGCCCAGCTCCCCAGGTGGCTGCGCACGGCCTCCTCTGTGTCCAGGGGGAAGATTGTCCAGTTGGTAAGGATATGAGAGCCAAGGGTCATGTTAGACACCAAGCCCTGCAAAGGAGAACAGAACACACTGAGCTGGGCAAGGAAGAAAAGGGGCTTTGAGTGTCCCTGCGTCCAGCCCCGGCTGCCTGGGAGAGCAAACTGAGATCGCAAACCTCCCACAGTAAATGAGAGCCAGGCACTGTGCACATTCAGGTGAAACAGCTCTAGCCTGAGGCTGAACTGCATCTCGTGGGAAGAGGCGCATTTCCAAACCACAGCTGCTCTCTTTTTCAGAGGCCAGGGTGTCATCGCAAAAGGCCCAGCGCTTCTCTTCTACCTGAGGGGGACCAAGCAGCAGTGCACCTGGCCCCAATCTCCCACTCCTCAATACCTCCAGAGTGGAAGACGGAGTCTGAGGAAGGGGAGAGTGAGTGTGGGGAAGAGGAAGAACACCCTCCACTGTAGGTGGAGGGGTGTGGACTCTCCCCACCCAGAGCCGGGAGTGGGTGTGACCCTGGGCACCTCAGCGGCCTCAGAGGGATGATCGCCCAGGAGTCCTTTCACCACGTGAGGACCAAGTGAGACAAAGTAAGTGGGAATACTCTGACATCTGTAAAAGGACATGACGACAACAGTAACCCTCAGAAATGGATTTGGATGTTGCTTTATCTGTTCCTCAGGGGCCAGGACTGTGGTGTCCCTGAGTATAAGCCATCCCAGAGAAGCTATGTTCATGGCCACCTAACCTCCCATCCCAGCTTTTTGTGTGGGGAACTTCCCCATTCTCAGTGGGACCCCAGCTTCACCTCAGAGCACCTTCCAGTATTAAGTCTCCTTTGCCCTTTTCATAATTAAACACTACGCAGGTAGCTGTGTGCCAGGCTTTCTGTGAAGTACTGTGATCCCTGAGACTACACAACACAGCCCTGGTTACCCTATGGCCAGTGTGTCTGTGACAGCCAGGCGGGAAGCCAGTGACCACAGCCTGAACACCAGGGGCCAAGATCATCATGCACAATGTACGCCAGTGTGTAACGCCTGGCCTTCTGATCTCCCCAAAAGGGGTCAGGAAATAGGCCCAGGCCCATCCCCTGCTAGACTGGGTGGTGCTGGAGTTCCCTGAAGGAAGCGTCTTTCCTCTCACAGGTGGTGAGTCGCTAGAGGAGCAGCTTGCATCTGGTGTCTCTGGATGCCCTAAAGCACCCCTGAAGCACCTTGGGGGACATCATGCAAACCTAACAGCTTGCTGAATAATGCTCTTGAGATATTTGCTGGAAAAACATATTTAGATGAGACGCCTGGGCACCGAGGGACCAGTGAGGCAAGAGGCAGTGCAGCAAGGAAGGCTTCCTGTGAGGCTGGAGCCCAGGCCCACAGCCCTGGAGCCCAGGGGGAGCTTAGCCGCTGTGCCAGCAAGGGGCGGCTCTGGTGAGTGTGGTGGGTTTTCAAAGCGGAAGTAGAGCAGCCTCCTCCTTCCATTTTCCACTACAGGATCAGCAAATTCAAACCCAAGGGAAGTGCGCTGGGTACAAAGCTCAACTTTCTCAGCACCTGCAGAGGAAAAGAACTCCTCCAAAGAATCCATCTTCTAGGTTGTAAGACAAACTAGGGGCATTTGCTCATCAAGTCCAGCAGCGTGTGTGTGCTCTTAAAAAGTGCTTCACCATGTACACCTAGAGCAATATGTCCAGGTGTACTTAAATGTATAAAAATTTTTTACCTGTAGGTTAACAGAGGTGAAAGAGAAAGAATGTATCTGTGAGTTTTTAAATGGATGTACAAAAACTTCCGCTGACTGCTTACAGTCCTGTCTGTCCTGCCAGCATGGCTCTTCTCACCTTGGAATCATTGATAAATCTGCCATAGTTCACACGCCCCATGTTCTCCACCAGAAGGTCCAGATTGGCTCCAGCTTTCCCTTGTATATTCAGAGACAACACATGGCTTCGCTCAAGGACTCCTTGGGGGACCTGTGGATTCAAGGCCAAATCAGAACTGAACGGAAAGAAGCCAGGCGTGAAGAGGCAGTGTGTCGACTCAGCACTCCCTGTCCTCCCTGGAACATCAGGCAGGTATCACCAGGTCTGCAGGCAAGTCCATCTGCCAGGCAGCCAGGCTCCCCCAGTCAATTGGCTGCCAAACAGGAAAATACCAGACACAGGCAGGCTGGTTTCCACTGCTTAGGAAAGTTTTTTCTGTTTCTTTGTTTTTTTTTTTTGGAGACATCATCTCGCTATGTAGTGCAGGCTGGCCTTGAACTTGCTTATGTAGCCCAGGCTGGCCTCGAACTCATAATGATCCTCCTGCCTCAGCCTCCCAGTGCTGGGATCAGGGCAGACGCCACCATACCCAGCTGCTTTGGAATGTTTTACTGTTCATCTATGTTTAAAGGAAAGAGAATGGAGGCAAATTCCAAGAGAGGATTCCTGCAACAGGAGCTGCTTCATGCTGTCACAGCACAAAAGTCAGCCACAAAGAAATCACTTCTCAACAACATGGAGAGAGGAGACAAATCAGAGAATCAAGATAAAAATCAGTCAGGTGGAGTATTTTCACCTCAAAATAGTTGATAGGATGCATTAACCACAAAATTATGTAACAGAATGAAGGAAGATAACAGGTATTTTATGAGCAGCATATTCTTAACCTTTTAAAAGGTTAGACTTTTTTTTTAAACTAGCATTACACTGACCACAACTAAGATAACTCCTAAACTGCAGGCCATGAAATAAATCACCATAAATATAGCATGTCTTAGAAATTCCTTCCACTGAAATTAAAGCCGATTACAAAATAATGAAAATATTTAAATTTTTCTGAACAAATTTTCTTGGTTATGTAAATTTTTCATGTGTCCTTTCCCATGACTATCTTAATGATAGGAACAGATATCGTACACTAACTGCACTCCATTATGAAATCAAATTCCTGATGTCTTCTAGTTGTAACTCTCACGAGCAACCCTTCACAATGCAATCTCTCATCAGGACGAGGCAGCAAGGTCAGCTTAGTGCAGCGGCAGCTACAAAACGGAACCAGAAATGCATGCTGCCCTCAGGAGCACAGGAGGTGCGGGCAACCTGCTGTGGCCAGGCAGAGGAGGGTGGCACTGGGCTGGGATGTGCAGAAGCACTCCCAGCTCATTGTCTTTGAGCAGGGTCCTCAGAGCTGGGATGGGTGTGGGGCATATTCCAGGCAGATGGAGCTGGCACAGGCCACATCTGTGAGCAAGGGGCAGAGCTAAGGACATCAAGAGGCCAAGCCTAAGGCTGAAGAGGTGAGCAAAGGCCCTAAGTGCCATGTTACTAGATTCCATGTCCCTGTCAGGGCAGAAATGCACTGCTCAGACTCTTACCCCGTCTATGGCGACATAGGCCCGATCGTGGACTCCATTGAAGGGGAGAGAAGAGAGGCGTGTTGAGTTGCCATAATCTTCAGGAAGTGTTGTTCGGTACAGCACAAACCCAAAATACTGGTTAGAAAAGGATGTAAGAAAAACATATCATTCTTGCTGTTCATTTGAGAACTTGGTTTCTCTTGATCTGTATGAAAGGGACATTTTGAAAACCATAAGGAAGAAAAAGCTTCCCCCACACCCAGCAAAGCTCAGTCTGCAAGAAGGGAACAGGTTTAGACTCTCAGATCTTTGGGTAACTATCCTGACCTTAAGTGCAGGAGGCCCCGAAGAGTATCTCACCAAGCATCCCTCTCCCACTGGCAGGTTTAGTCATTTGATCAGAGTGACTCAGGGGATTGTAGCATCAAAAGGTACTGATGTTAACTCAGAAAACAAAACCAAGAAAGACCAACAAAACAACAAGACAGATAAACACAAACAGAATCATGAAGTTCTGCTCATGTGAACTCTTCAGGTTCTTGGGCTAAATCCGCTCTCACATAAAACAAGACTCAATGTGTAACTATTTAAAGTGATGCAACAGGGAGAAAGAGAGGTGAGAGACTAGACTGTAACCGTCGCTAAGTCTGAAGTTAGTTTTAGATGCTCACATCCCTAATCCTGAAGGGAGGTGTTAACCAGCCTCAGCATCCACAGAATTAGTTACTGATTTTCCCAATTTATTGCTTACTGTGGGCACGAGCAATGGTGCGCTGGGACAAAATCCTGGGTTAAGGAAGAGAATCCAAATAGAACTTTAGAGTGCAACAGAGAAAAAGGGCCCTACTTCTAGGGCCCGAAGTAGAAGATGACTAGGAGGAGCTGAGGAAAACGTTCCTCATCTCCCTGGGTGCAAGAACGGGCTGTGCACAGGGAATGCTACTCGCCCTGCTCAGATCTTCTAGCACAAGGGCACCTCTGCTCCCCAGAACCCAAATCTGTCTCTCTCCCTTGTTGCTGAAACAAACTGAAGTGGTGAGCCCTCACTCTGAAACTGCAGAAAACTTTGCAAAGGGCGTCCAAGGTGTTCCTGCACACAGGTATAGCCGCCTGGGGAGGTATCAGGCTCTGCCCCAGCCCTGCAGCCTGCTCCCACCCACCCCTGCAATTTTCACTGGAAATAAGCACTCTAGGTGCATGCCCCAGACCTGGAACAGCCAGGACCAGGAGCCCCACCCAATTCTGAGGACCGATGGGGCCAGAGATGAGAAGGCAGAAGCTGCCACAGGTGCATGGATTCATTCGTGAGCCTGGAGATCTTCCCAGGATGCCCACACCCTGCGCCCCATCTTCTGTGAGTGCTCAACAGCTCTGCTCAGTGCAGCCAAGGCATCTTAGAGATGGACATGGCCAGCTTGTGTGGGGAGAAAGAACCCTACCCAGTGTCAGTGAAAAGCGTGTAGGTGTACGGGGCTTGGTTATCCATTGTAATTACTACACAACAGAGTTGTTAGAATAAAATTATGGTAAATAGTATCTGGAGGCAAAATACACAAGCTTAGAAATCCTGTTACTGTGTCACCTTATTTTTCAGACTCCTACAAGGTGACCTCCACAATCAGAAAGGCCCGGGTAACTGAACATTTCAAAAAATGGTGCTGAGATCCCATGACAACCAGAGGACAAACTGACCTCACAGGCATGCTGATGTTGTGCCCGGGAAAAAGCCGGTCACCAAAAACTCTTTACTAAATTTAATTAGTGAGGGACAGTCTACAAATAGCCTCAACTCTTCAAAAATGACCCTGTCAAGAGTAGTAAGTGCAGCAACAGTTTCTGACAAATGAGGACTAAAGAGATATTACTAATGCAATACGAGATGAGATTGGAAAATGGACTGAAAAAATGTAAAAGAACATTGTTGGAGAGTGACCAGGGACACTTGAGTGCAGACTGTACGTTAGCTAATAAAATGGTATCAATGTTAAGTTTCTTAAGTTTGATCACTGTATTGTAATATACAGGATAATGTCTTCCTTCTTACAAGGCTGCAATATTTAGGGGTGATGTTGCCAGCTAAAATATTTAAAAGAAAGAAAAGAAAAGCAACAGACTATTCACACAGAGGGAGAGAAAAATAAAGCAAGTGAAGTAATTGTTAACAACTGTGAATCTAGATGGAAAAGTACTCTAAGTGTCTGTGGTAATGTTCTTGCAACTTTTTTAGATTTGAAATTTGCTAAGCTAAAAAGGGCAAAAAAACTTTCTAAAAAAGAAAAGGCAGTATGTGAAGAGTAAACACAAAAATATACACACACTAAAAAACAAAATACACTGTTTTCTTCAAAAATAGAAAAATAACGTGTAAAAAAGTGTACCAAAAACACAGTCCCTATATCACCGAGCTAAGAATAAAGTTCCTTCTTTGAGTATTAAAATAGTGGTTCTCTACTTGTGCCTAGTAATAAGAATTTAGTAGGTCAGCCAATGCCTTGAATTTGTAACGTTCACAAAATTATGCTGAAGCACGTTGAGCCACTTCTTATGTGAGTGATAATAAGACGCAGGAAGATCAGCCCCATGCAGCTCAAGAGCCTGGAAAGCCAGCAGCCCCCCGCCCCAGCTCTGCTCCATTCCCTCGCCAGCAAACAGGCTCTGTCTGCGAGGAGGTGCAGAAAGCACGGCTGTGTCAGTAGAGAAAGGTGAAGCATTACCTTTGAAGGCCTACCTGTTTCACCTGGATAAATGTCAAGGGATAAAGGCTTTTTGTGGACCCTCTGGAACACAGGATGTTCAGAGCTCCCTCCACTGTCTTCAACTATAAAGAAAGAAAAGTAGCACTTACTGTCGCCTGTCACTGGTCATGATGGTAGAGGGTAATATTATGCCCAAACTATCAGATACATTAGTGGCTTAGACCAAACCCCAACATAAACCTAGGTCGTTCAAAGTCTACTCAGTGCTGGTTCCTAGTAACTTTTGGCCCTCTTCATCCACTCCCTAACTCTTGATGAAAAATGTAAATGATGGTAGTCTTAAAGAGTTTCAAACTACTCATTTAGAAATAGAATCTGCTCCGGGATAAATCTGACAGGCCTTGAAATAAATGGAAACCAAGGTTCAAAGGCTGTCTCCTCCATAAAGCTTTCCACAACATCAAGTTATTTTTATAGTTATTTTTACCTATAAAGAGAGTATAGTAACTAGAAGCAGCTACACCAAGATTAGATGTGCCATTATGTCACCGCATCATAATTCTTTTATAGTTACTTTACGCTCCTGTGAGCTTGTCTCTAGCAAATGTTCTGGTGTCATTTAGTAGCTGTTTGGTGCTGTGCTGATCCCCACTGCCCAGCTCCTGGTAGACAGGCTAAATATTTCTCAGGTCCAACCCAAGGGACTGTGCACTCCTGCAGCCAGGGTGTTTATTCTAATGTAGCAATAAGAGCACTAACAATAGCTGCCCGCTATCATGTGTCTCAACATCATATTCCTACTACCTTGTTCTATCCTCACAGCTGCCTGGGGACACTGGCAGGCATTACTGTCCCCATGAAACTCAGAGCAACTCACTCAAGCAATGAGATCCAGGATTGGCAGTTACGTTTGCCTCCAAAACCCAGATATTTCCCAGCATAAAACTGATCATGATTTTTTAAACATTTTTTTCTTTCTGCTTTGTTTTTTTGGGGATGGGGTCTCATCATGCAGTTCAGGCTGGCCTTGAACTTGCAGCGATCCTCCTGTCTCAGCCTCCCAGAGTTCTGGGATTATAGCCATTCCCCATTACGCTCAGTGAGGATTTTATAAACAATTTCCAAAGGTGACTGGTTGCTGTGCAGCACTGTGGAAATTTTTTTTTTTTTTAACTTTTGAAATAAGGTCCACTAGGTTGCACAGGCTGGGCTTGAACTTGGGATCCTCTTGCATCAGTCTCCTACAATGCTGGGATTACAGGTATATGCCACTGTGTCAGGCAGAAAAAATCTTAATCACAATTCCATCAAGGCCGCCACCCATATGGGTATCACATAATTATGTGAATTATGTCCTACCTGGACAACAAAAAGGAATATAACTCATAACAAAAGCTTTTATCTTATATAACTATATTCTACATAAATTTAATTCAGTTATATGTCTATTTGCTACCTTAAGTTGTATACAGTTAGTTAACAATAAAAAGCCATGTCTGCTCACACAGTTTTCCTTCATGATAAGAGTATGTGGTTTTGGTATTAAGTGAGCTTTTTAAAAAGCAATGTTGTTGTTTTAAACATTTGGAGTTATTTTCTGTTGCATAAAAATAAATTTTCAGTGCTTTAAAACCAACCAACAACCTTTTCCTTAAGTAGCTATAGCAACGAACAACTAGAAGCAAGGTGTTCCCTTCACAAGTATGATTAAGGTCTGATAATCTTAAGAGAGATTTCTATCAGAGAGAGAGACCACATTCTTTGTAGCATGTAGCACACACATCTGACACTAGGTGGAAAATGTTACAAGAGCTCAATAGACCAACTATAATGTCAAAGGGCTTCTTGAATGGAAAAATTATACAATCATGTTTGGCATTTTGCTTAAAGATAAAAACTCATGATGCTATTTTAGAATGTCAAAATTCTTAAGAAATAAGAAGCTGCTCATGTTTTTTCTTCTTGTGAATGAACACATGTAGGAGTTGGGGATCATAAGAGGGGAAAACCTGAAGACACAGACGGTCAAAACAAATTCACTTGCTTACGTCACTGCATCTGACTATTAAAATCTCTCTCCTTCTCTAGAATAAAACATCCTTGCCTCTTATTTATGATTAATTTATATCTCTTTCCCTGAATGACTCACTTATCAATAAACCAGACTATAAAAATTAGACATGAATTTGAGATCGAGGGGGCGTGTACGAGTTAGGGTAGAAACATCAAAATTCCTATGGTTTCGGGGAACTCCGTAGAAGACAGTGTGAATTATGGAAAAGAGCCTCGCCAGGCAGCATAACGATTGGCATGTTGCGTCCACCAGTGCTCTTGGCGCTTTCTATAAATGATAACTGAACCGAAGGAGCGGATTCCCGTTCTCCCGGATGTGCCCCTCCTGCCAGCGTGCACGCAAACCCATCCTCCATCGCTGCCTTTCCCCAGAAACGGCGACTAGCCCTGCAGGCTTGCAGACGGCAGGTTCACACAAAAGGAAGAAGCCGGCCGTTAGGGAGCGCTGCACTTTAGCCCCTTCGACTAAATTCCATTCCCTCACTCCCACTCTGCTTTCAACGCTCCCAGTATTTTTTCTTTCTTACCTTTCTCAGAGCGACTTTTCCATATGCAAACTTTGGTGTAGATGGAGGGATAATACCCTCTGGTACTTTTTCAAACTATAAACGCAAGTGCAAAACAGAAAAGAAAAACTGTTAAACCTTCAGAAACATGTCCATAAAATTCATTTTTCAAAAAAAAGTCAAAGTCTCACACAACAGTGCTTGCGCTTTTTGGCTCACACGATTTCTCCCAAAACAGCATTTGCTAGATGCTTTACTTCTAAGCGTGTGTCTTGCTTTAAGCTCTCGGGATCATGTAAATACTTATAGAACAAAAGACTTTTTTTTAATCTTTAATTTTTTTTTTTTATAAATCTTTTTGAGACAGGGTCTTGCTATACAGTTCAGGCTGACTTTGAGCTCACTTTGTGGCCCAGGCTGGCCTCGAACTCGAAACGATCCTCCTGTTTCAGCCTCCCAAGTGCTGGGATTACAGGCGTGTGCCACCATACCTGGCTGAACAAAAGACTTTAAAACAAAAAGCAAAAACAAATAGAAAAATGAGAATGAAAACAGAAAAGGAAACAGAAAGAACAGGACACAGATATCGGACCAAACAGAACCTGAAACGAGAGCAGTGCAGGATGAGCACTATTCCTTGTATTGCTCCGTTAAAGTTTTGCATCAATGTCAAATTTACCGTGGTTATATGAGAGTATTTCTACACATTTCTACAAAACATTTCTGAGCAGTTAAGGCCAAGGGTCGGGATGTATACAGCCCTCCAACCATCTGGAAAATGCATACACGGAGGGAGAAAGAGCACAAATGATGAAGCCGCCAGAGTGGAGTACTAATGGCATTAGTACGAAGTGAGGGGATCCGGGTGGGGAATACGCAGGTACTCTTCATACAACTGCTACTCTTGTAACTTTTCTTTAAATTTGGGGTTATTTTACAGTAAAAAATAAAATCTTATTAAATATTAAATATGTATTCTATATACATATACATATATATCCATGCAAGGTATGATCAAGATATACCATGAATGTTTAAATTCTTAAAAATTTACTACAGTAAGACACATTACCATTAATCTCCCTCAAAATACTCCCTTTTGCTGGGAGTGGTGGCACACTCAGCACTCAGGCGACTGAGGAAGGAGGATCGCCATGAGTTCGAGGCCATCCTGGGCTACATAGTGAGTTCAAGGCTAGACTGCACTACATGATGAGACCCTGTCTCACCCCGCCCCCAACACTCGCCCTGGCTTCAAATGCACTTATCCCATCATTCTTGCCACTTTCTGAGGCAGTTTTGGAAATCCTCTCTCGTGTCCATAGTTGCACTCTTATGGCAGCCTTGATGCTTGAATTGATCCAAAACTTTTACCCTGCGTGGTCATTTCAACTTATGGGAAGAGGCAGAAGTTACATATAAGGATACACGGTATGATAAGGATACACGGTATGTTATATTTGACAGAAATTGCCGTAAGTAGGTAATTAATGAGGGGTGTTCATAAGACATGGTGAATGTTTAAATTAAAAAATTTATTACCCTAAAAGACACGATGCCTTTACTCTCCCTCAGTTACCCAAACTGTCCCCTTGACTTTGAACATACCTCTCACTCCTGGCCATGTGTCCTCTGTAATAAGTTTTTAAATTTTAAACTTTCACTGTGTCTTTCAATCACCCTTTGTATGCATGTATATATGCACATACATGTGCAGCTATGTATACAAATGTGTGTATGTATGGAGAGGGGGGGAGGGAAATGTCGGAATATCTGGGTATAATGTCTCTAGCCTTAGAAACACCTAAGGCCACCTGGCATTTCTAAGTAGATTGTATTATGATCTCAGAATCTTCCATTTCTCTCTCCTTCCTTCCCCTCTTCCATCCCCTATCCAAGTTTCTCTTTCTAAATGAATAAAAATGAATGACTTTTAAAAAGAAGAGGACAAAATACTATTAGAATGAAAAGTAACAGTCTCCTACTTCACTTTTCTCTCCGTTCTATCCTTTGGAGACAACTATTTAAAAGTCACTTAATTTATTTTTGATTTTGCTTCTTCTGATCTCTCAGTAATATACTATTATTTCTTGTGTGATGAATCTGAAACATTATTACTGATTTCTTTGATGTATGGAAGCATTATCCAGTGTATAATTATCCCAGATTATCGTCCTTTCCTGCCGACAGGGTCATGTTACTATTCTCACTTTCTCCACTGATTACTTCATAACTGTAAAATAGTATCTTTATGCCTTTATTTTTTAGTTCTACCAGTTAAGCCATTTCTTTTGTACTCATACTTTTTAAGGTAAAGTTATCTGCACCCTCTCCTAAGCCTTTGTCTCTCTCTCCTTTCCAAACCATGGGCTATACTTTTACACCGTCCAGACAAAACCACCTGTGCTATAGCTGAAAGTCTTCCTTTCATCTTAATACTGACTCAGTTTAAAATCCATCAATGGTGCCTACATTTTGGTACAAACACACTCTTCTCTGTGCAGCTAAGAGCTGTATACATTTTTTTTTTTTGAGGCAGGGTCTCACTATGTAGTGCAGGTTGGCCTTGAACTTGCATATGTAGCCCATCTGGCCTCGAACTCATGGTCATCTTCCTGCTTCAGCCTCCCAAGTGCTGGGATTACAGGCATGCACCATTACACCTGGCTAAGAGTTGTATACTTTGATGGGAGGCTCCATCTTGTTCAGTTTTTTTGTGTTCTTTAACTCATTCCTGGAGTTTGTAATTGCTTTTCTTTCTTCTCTCTGTCTACAGGTTAATGCCTTTTTAGGTCATTTAAAATTTCTGAAGATGGTATCAAGTTCCTTCACATACCCATTCTTCCCCTAGATAACTCCCATCTGGAATTACCAGTCTTCTGGCTGCAAGGAAATGACTCCCACAGGCTTCATATCTTGAGGCTTCCCTGTATCATTCTCCTGGCTTTTAGTTTCTGTTTGTGGGTCTCATGACATTTTCGTTTCACTAGAGCACAGTCTGAAGTAACTTCCGCAGAACAGGGTGTGGGAAGGAAACTTCTGGACTCTCTGATTGCCGCCCTGGAAAGGCACAGGACCCCATGTGGAGGGCATCTCCCATAGAACGCCAGGGTACCACTGAGCCCCATCGTCCGTGCGGCTCATACCCGCCTCGTCCTGGTCCCTCTGAAGGCTTCTTTCCCCTAGAAGCATGCATCTCTTTACTCTCAGTGTCCTAAAGTTCTCCAGGGATGCATCCACATTTGTATCTTATATTTTACATTGACATTATATATAAATTACATACAAATGCATGCATATGATATTCATTATACTAAGCAAGTCAGAGATACCATTCAATTTTGGAAAAATTCTACAGTATTTCTCTTTCTCCCTTTTTCCCCTTTTTACAGTAACAAGTTGGGCATCTAGATTGCTCCTCTATATCTCCTTTCTCTTCCATTTTCATCTCTGTCTTCTCCTAGTTTCTAGGAAATTATTTTTAATTTCCAAGAAATTCTTCTTTTTCTCTAGTAGCTCCTTTTTCTTTTCTTTTTTTGGCTCCTTTTTCAAAGAATCTGTGTGTGTGTCTGTGTGTGTGTCTGTGTGCACATGCTACTAAGGACTGAACCTAGGGCCTACACACTGTGACATTCCCAGCTCTACACGTACCAGCTCCCTGCAGTGAATATAATCATTAGGCACTGTAAATATGTACTAAAATTTTTTAAAAACTTAGTTAGCTAAGCTGCTAAATTGCTCAGGCTAGACTTGAACTTGTGATCTTCCTGTCTCAGCCTCCCAGAGTGCTTGGATTAGAGGCATGTTCTAACCTGTTCATATTTCATGGCTGCAGTATCTCCTCAAATCTTTTCAAAGGCTATTAACTTCAGAGGTTTTGCTTAAGATTGCACCCATCTCCTGAATTCTCTGTTGCCTCCAGGATCACTTTTCCGTTCCATCTTGGCTCTTCTCTTTCCCACTGTAGAACTGACGGCTGTCTTCCTGCAGCTGGTCATCCCTGTTTGTCCATTCACATTTTAGAGCAATGCAAACAAGTATTCTTTAGCTCCGTGAGTGTCCTATTTTAAGTCATCTCTGCATCCTGAAGGCTTTGTTTTAGGGTAATTTAACAGAGTCAGGAATAATGTGGAAGTTCTCTGCTCTAGAGTTGTTTTATTTTTTCTTTTTGTTTGTTTTTGAGAAAGGTCTTACTATGTAGCCAGGCTGGCCTCAAATTCACAGCAATCCTCTGCCTCAGCCCTCAGAGTGCTAGTATTACGGGCATGTGCCAGCACACCCAGCTTAGAGTATTTACTTTTAAAACTTTCTTCAAGGAAAAAAATTCCTCTGGTTTTCTGCTCGGTAGAAAGATGCCTCCCTGATGAACAGTGTGGGTGTGAGCATGCTGGGAAGGAGGACCTCATAGGAAATGCACAGGATTTAATTAACCTTCCTATTTTCAGCTCCGTTTTTCTCCTTTCTTGCACCTGTATTTCCAGGATGTTTGTGTGATCTGCTTTTTTTGTTACTATAACAAAATATGCAAGGCAGGCTAACTTTAAAAAGAAAAGAGGCTTGCCATTACCGTGGCATCCCCCCTAACTAGTACTGAGGATTGAACCCAAGCCCTTCACATTGAGCTACATCCCCAGACCACTTCTATTTTTAGTTTTTATTTTGAAAGAGGGCATTGCTAAGTTGCCAAGTTGCTCAGGCTAGGTTCAAGCTTGCAACTCTCTTGTATCAGCCTTCTAGAATGCTGGAATTACAGGTGTGTGCCACCATGCCCTGCTGTGGTAGCACACATCATTAATCTCAGATACTCAGGAGGCTGAAGCATAAGGATCACAAGTTTGAGACCAGCCTGGGCAACTTAGCAAGACCTTGTATCAAAAAGTCAAAAATGAGAAAGGACTTGGGAATGTAACTCAATCCTCAAGAGTAAAGCACTTGCCTAGCATGCACGAGCCCTTGTGTTCATTCCCAGCACACCAAAGAGAGGGAGGAGGGAGAAGAGAGAAATGGCAGTAGCTTATTGAGCTCACTGTTCATGGCACCAGCGTTGGCTTGGCTCTGGGGAGGACCTCAGGGTGATTAGTGGGAACACAAACAGG